TTTGGTGACACCCCATGGGGACGTCCCCATGGAGGCCACCTCCTTGGGGACACCTTCCATGGAGGCCACCTCCTCGAAGCCACCTCCTTGGGGTCACCTCGTGGGGACATCCCATGGAGGCCACCTCCTTGGGGACATCCCTTTGATGACACCCCATGGGGATGTCCCCATGGAGGCCACCTCCTTGGGGACACCTTCCATGGAGGCCACCTCCTTGAAGCCACCTCCTTGGGGTCACCTCGTGGGGACATCCCATGGAGGCCACCTCCTTGGGGACATCCCTTTGATGACACCCCATGGGGATGTCCCCATGGAGGCCACCTCCTTGGGGACACCTTCCATGGAGGCCACCTCCTTGAAGCCACCTCCTTGGGGTCACCTCGTGGGGACATCTCCAGGGAGGCCACCTCCTTGGGGCCACCTCCTTGGGGACATCCCTTTGGTGACACCCCATGGGGACGTCCCTTGGGGCCACCTCCTTGGGGCCACCCCATCAAGGCCAACCCATCAAGGCCACCTCCTTGAAGCCACCTCAATGGGGTCACCTCCACGGAGGTCACCTCCTTGGGGACATCCCTTTGGTGACACCCCATGGGGACATCCCATGGGGGGCCACCTCCTTGAAGCCACCTCCTTGGGGTCACCCCTTTGGTGACACCCCATGGGGACGTCCCCATCGAGGCCACCTCCTTGGGGACACCTTCCATGGAGGCCACCTCCTCGAAGCCACCTCCTTGGGGTCACCTCATGGGGACATCTCCATGGAGGCCACCTCCTTGAAGTCATCTCCTTGGGGCCACCCCTTTGGTGACACCCCGTGGGGACGTCCCCATCGAGCCCACCTCCTTGAAGCCCCCTCCTTGGGGACATCCCTTTGGTGACACCCCGTGGGGACGTCCCCATCGAGCCCACCTCCTTGAAGCCCCCTCCTTGGGGACATCCCTTTGGTGACACCCCGTGGGGACGTCCCCATCGAGCCCACCTCCTTGAAGCCCCCTCCTTGGGGACATCCCTTTGGTGACACCCCGTGGGGACGTCCCCATCGAGCCCACCTCCTTGAAGCCACCTCTTTGGGGTCACCTCGTGGGGACATCTCATGGAGGCCACCTCCTTGGGGCCACCCCTTTGGTGACACCCCATGGGGACGTCCCTTGGGGCCACCTCCTTGGGGCCACCCCATCAAGGCCAACCCATCAAGGCCACCTCCTTGAAGCCACCTCAATGGGGTGACCTCCACGGAGGTCACCTCCTTGGGGACATCCCTTTGGTGACACCCCATGGGGACGTCCCCATGGAGGCCACCTCCTTGGGGACACCTTCCATGGAGGCCACCTCCTCGAAGCCACCTCCTTGGGGTCACCTCGTGGGGACATCCC